CACTGTCATAACCAAGATGACCCAGAGACAGAAAACGCTTGTATTTTTCTACTAAACTATATTTTTACGTTGCATCACCATTCTATCTAATACCAGAAAACCTAATCTCTGTTAATTTGATCACTTTAATATATATATGTATGTATGTATTTTCAAAAATCATTTTGGATTTTAGGCACTTTGGGGCTGTTTCTCTCCCATTCCCCACTGTAAAGATCTGATTTCTTCTGTAATAGTCTCTCTCCTCATGATAAGAGTTTTGCTCAGCTAGTGGGTTCATCATTGGTATTTACTTGCCAGGCTTTAGAGTAGGGATTATCCCCTGAATTCCTTACCCCTTGTTCCTCCTGTTGATGGATACATTGTTCTGGATGTCCATCCAAATTCACATCCTTAGCCAAGAGCCTCAGCAAAAGCTCACCTCAGATGTCAGATCCTGGCTGGGTCCTGATGTTTTGCCCTCTGGCTGCCGGTGAGCACTGGTGTTTCTTTAGATCAACAATTAACTGATTGTTGTCTTGTTCTTGCATAGTAGAACCACACTGACATTCTGTATTATTCTGGGAACAATCACAAAATCTGATTTCCTCTCTTCATTTCAAAATTCCAGTAATTTAATTGCATAAATAATTTGATACAAACTTTCTTCATCATTCTCTCTTGGAGCAATTTAAATTATTTTACAGCAAAAGGAAAGATAGAATGTAAAATTTGAGACATCCTTCTGGTATTGTTATCATACAACAAAATACAAAAATATATGCCAAATAAAACCTCTAGTGGGTAGCAAACATAAAATTCTTTCTTTTTTTGGTACCGAGGATTGAACTCAGGACCTGTGCTTGCAAAGCAGGTGGTGGAACCACTGAACTGAATCCCCAGCCCTCAAACATAAAATTCTTTAAGGAACAGATATCTATAAAAGTAGTTGTACAAACTAAACATTTACCAAGTCTGTCAACTTTTCAAATAAGTAAACCAAATTACTATGGATGTGATTTGTTTCAAATTATGAAAAGGGGAGCTGAGCTGGCGTGCATCCCAAAGAATGGTGACAAATATTTTAATAAAGAAAGATGTGACATGGAAAAATAGTAAATCAGTACTACTAATTAATATGATTTTCACTAAGTTCAGTAGCATTTGTTGCCAATATTAGAGAGACACATATGCAGAAAAGGGGGGGGGAGAGATTATGAGTGTGATCTTAAGACACTAAAAAGTGCCTGCCCATAGTACAGGCTTAACTAATGTTTGTTGAATAAATACAACAGGGCTACTTTAAACTCCAGGTGCTACAAATAGAACTTTAAACATTCTGAGTTTAATTATACACCTTGTCCTTCCCATGGAAACTTTTCTTTTCTTGTAGAAACTCCCGGGATCTCATTTGCAGTGCTAATCCTCAGGTTGACTAAACCTGACATAAATGACTGGTGTCCATTCTAACTGGTTGATACCCATGTAGTGCTGGCTGTTCACTATGGCATTTTGAATAGCATCCCTGCATTTCTACATTTGTACCCACCAAAACAGCTCATGGATGTAGGAGGTGCAGTAAATCACTAAGTTGTTGGCATTGGGGAGGTGTTTCAGATCTTCATACTGCAATAATGCAACTCAAGTAATAAAGACTTAAAAATGAAAAAATTCATTTTATAAATGTAAATAGGAAAAAATAGATGAATATCTGATTTTCCACATGATAATGAGAATCAAAGGGAAAAAATCAAGAAATGTTTTGATATATTTGTTTAAATAATTATTTAAATTTTTATGTTTCAAAATTCATGAACAAAATTAAAAGTCAAAGAGTAATATGGGAAAACATTGCCACAATTATGACAAATCACTGACTTGAGAGCTTTAATAAGTAGATTAAAAAAACACTAAAGCCCCTATAGAAAAATGGGCAAAAGACATTAATAGATAATTTACAAAAAAGGAAATGGCTAATGAGCACCAGAAAAAGCAGTTTAATGATAGTAGTCCCAAATAAACACAAAGAAAACAGCAAAATCTTTTATCAAATAAGAAAAGGGTTTTACTGGCAATATTACTCTTTACTAGAGACGCTGGGAAAGGTACTACTATTTATATACTGTGCTAGCACTAAAAATTGCTACATCTGCTAAAAATCAATTTCAAAAAATACTTCAAAAGCAGTAAAGACATAGATAGAAGTGTATTCTGCAAAGTACTCAAACTCAAAGATTTACGAACTCAGATTTTCATTTTAGCATAATTTATAACAGCAAAAACCACAAACATTCAACAGTAGAGAATTATGTTATATTGGTGTGATGTAAAATTAGTCACTAAAAATGATCTGTAACATCATTTTTAGTGACATGGAGAAAATAAATGTAAAAAGCAGAATGCAAAATTTTATACATACTAAATTCATACCAAGGTTTTAAAAACTGCAAAAAGATTAGAAAGCAGTCACTAAAAATATTAAAAGTGGTTAACTTTTAGGGGTAGGAATAAGGCTCTCTATATTATAGTTTATTCTCTGCATTGATACAGTCATCTGCAATCAAGCATGTATTACTTTCATATAAAAATCATTATTTTCAAATAAAATCTCTAGAATTAATCTTCCTTTATTTGGTAGAAAACACTACATGAAAACATTTTGATGAATTGTTTTGTAGTAACTTTTAAAGAAGAATTTCATAGTTCTATTCAAACACAAGCTCCAAAATAATAACTAAATTTTTTCCAGTCAGTGGGTATATAATAGGTGGCCAAAAGTGTTTATATTTGGTTTTAAAAATGGTTAAAATGTCTTTATTTTTAAAAATACACATTTTTTTAACACCTCAAGAGTAAAGTAAGGATGTAAACATTTTTATTTTCTTTCTACCATCATTATTAAAACATTTAAAAATTACACAGGGGGCATTTTGAACCTTGGCTTCTTACAGTTTCTCAAAGTATCCTTATTTGATCTCAAGGTTGAAAAGATTCGTGATGTGGAGGTAATTTCCATCACCATTCTCTTCCACCTTCTGAGATTTCATGGCTTGCTTCTCTTAAGAACTGTCCTAGAAAGGGAGTCACTGCAGGTTCACACACTAGTGAGAATCCATGTCTTTCCCCAGAGCCAGCCCCAGGCAAAAATGTTGGAGAGCTGAGCTTCTCTCCAGTCCAGCCTCTGGTATGTTCTCACCCACTCTCCAAATCTGGTCTCACACACTTTAATCACATTAGATGTTGCTAACACTTTCTGAGAAAGGCTTTTGCTCATACTGTGGTGTTATTGTCTCAATACAGGTCTGTTTGCCTCAATTTATGTATGAGAATGGTAAAGCCCAGAGAGGTTAATAAAGTTGCCAGTGATCACACAGCTAGCTACCAATACTGTTTGTATTCACAGCCAAGTCTTCCTGATTTGAATGCTGTTCACTCTCACCAGGTGAGGTCAACACTTGGGAGTATCCTTTCCATGGCTTTGAAGCCATACACTTTGTCTATCTGCAAACTAAAATTCAAACTGTTCTTAAACTTGGAACAGTCTGAAATGCATCGGTTTTCTCTTTAAAGAATACAAGTTTCCTAAAGAATACGGGCACCTGCCTAATAACAGACAACAAGAAAATTCATGGGCTTGTCTTTCTGTGGGCTTAACATCATTTCCTCACTAATCTAAAGATTCTCCTAGAAGGTAATTCATTTCCCAGCTTCCCTCTGTAACTAATCGAGATTTTAAAATACTAATTCTCAAGCAATTCTTCTTTGCCCCTTAATCAATTCTAATTCTGCTCCTAACTGGCTCTATGCCTCCAGGCAATTTACTTGGGGCCTCTGAGATACAAGTTTCTCATCTGAAAAAGCCCAAATTAAAAATATTACCCTACCCCTAGGGTTGTGGGAGAATTAAATGAGATAATGTAAGGGTAGTTCTTGATGGGGGTAGGGCAAGGAGGTGGAGGGGACTCAGGAAGGTGTTCTTCATTCCACTCCTCTCTCTCCTTTGCATGCTCGTAAGTTCTCTTTTAAGAGGTCACTGTATACTAAAGTTTTTCTCTTCTTTTTCTCTAAGTCACTTTGTGTTTCCTATTTCATAACTCTTTTCTGAGAGACTGTGCTTTTGGATCTTCCCACTGCGCATCATGCCACATAAAGACAGTCAAATTTTTTTCATCTCTACCTCCCAGCTATAAACAAATAAAGAAAGAAAGAAAGAAGAAAGAAAGAAAAAAATCCCCAAACAACCAACAAAGCCCCCAAACTTGTCAGTTGCATAATTTGCCTTCACTCGTCAAAGGAATAACGTCAAAGGAGTAGACTGAAAGTAAGGGGGAAAAGAAGGCTTTTCCAAACCAACTTGGTAGTGTTCATCATGAATGGCTACAGCCTCCGGGTCCCGGGCCCGCCTGGCCCGGTGACACCTGCTTCGGGCTCCCGCGCAAGCCTGGCCCACACCGAGCATCTCGAATGAATTTCAGTAACGCTTCTGGAGACAGTGATACAATGAGCTGGCGAAATGGAATCTCTCCTGCCCAGTAACATTTAATTGGAAATGCCCCTTACTGATTTGATTCTAAGAAATTATTCTTGGTAGTGAAAACCAAAAATTTAGGGGGTTAAAATCCTGAAGTTGGAGAAGACCTGAACTCAACTCAAGCCCAAGTTTCAGGAATACGAATCTTGAATTGGGAAACATTTCCCCACTTTCTCCTGTTCCTCCATACACTGATTTAGCAAACGCCAGGGGCCCTGCGGGTGTCGGATTTCTGAAGGGCGAGCCCTGTCCCCCTCCCTCTCTGAGGCCCCAGACAGTTGTTGCTTTAGTGTCTACAGTGAAGTTTCCCCATCTCCCCTCGGGCTGTCATCTGTCTACCTAACTCATCCAGGACATCTCCCTAAATAATCTGAGTGGAGAATCATGGTCCTGTCTTGGAGACTTATCCGGGAAAGAGAGTGCGTGGGGCCGATCAAATTCCAGAGCTCGGATTTCATTTCCCGTCCGTCAGATGGTGCGGTGGGTGGGGGCCCAGCGCTGTGCACAGCTGTGCCTAAGAGGTGCCGGTCCCCTGCCTCCCGTCCGCCGAAGTCGCCTGGAAATTCTGCACTGACGTTGTGAGTCCTAGGCATTTTAATTTTAGATGTTTGAACCCTGTAGGTGGAAAAAAGAAGTGTGAACCACGCACTGGGTCAGTGTCACGATTAAGCCCCTGTCCCTCTGCACTCGCCGGCCCTGCGTCCACGCCAACGAGGAGGCTCGGGTTTGCGCCCCGCTGCCGAAGCCTCCGTCGCCGCGCGATTCTTGGCAGCCTCGCGGTCTGGCGGCTCGGTGGCGGCGGGGTTCCCGCGGGTCCCAGCGCGGCGCAGCTGCCCGCACCCCGGCCCAGCGCCCGCGTCCCCTGTGCGCCCTGCGCCCTCCCGATCGCCTGCAAGTCGGGCCCAGCGCGTGCTCGCGGTCCCCGAGCCACCCGAGGGCCCCAGCCCCGCCGCGGGGAACTGTGGTCTCCCGCTTCGCCGAGCGGTGCCTCAGCCTGGGCCCAGGGCCGCGGCTGCCTCTCCCGTCCTGGGGGCAGATCGGGCTGCAGCGCGACACCGGGTAGCTCAGAGGCCGCGGTGTCCTCTGCTGGCCCGAGAGGCTGCCCACGGTCAGCGCCACCTCCCGCCCATGACAAATCCACACCCGTATCGAGCCCAGCGCCTCCCAGGTGTTAAGCTACCTCGACTTTCATGCTAGCACATTGCCTGGTGATTCGACTGGTTCCTCTTTAGGGTTGTCCAGGTTCAAAGTTTAGACATGGGACATGAAAAACATTGTTCAGTCTTCTCAGGAGGGGTAGGCTGATATGGGCAATTGCATGGCTTTTCAATCTATAGAAAAAAAGAATCGTTGAGCAATGACCTCGGCTCTTAATTTTCCTCCTGGAAACTCAACGAATTCATCCGTAAAATAAAATTTAAAACAATTATATTTCATCTGCTTTAAAGCGCAGAGTCGAGCAGTTAGCCTCATGAAGTATCTCTCAGGGCTAAGAATCTATGATTTCGTGATCTCTAGATTGAAATGTAGGATTAGAAGTGCGTCCTTTCTTTAAAGCCATCGGTGAAGGGCCTTCTGTGGGGATCAGGTATCAGAAGCAGCCCCTCCCCCCCCACTACTTCAGGCATCATCTGCACACCTGGACCCAAATATGCGGATTGTTCGGGCCTTTAGCACTTTCTGTGGCTTGACTGACCGCTAAGCTTGATATCACAAAGATAATAGAACAATTGGAGTTTCTCATATTTGGCTTATGTTTTCAATCCTAGAGAGAGAGAGAAAAAAGCAACTAATTCTCTTCTTTAAAAACCAGAAAAATCGATCCCATTGATCAGTGTGAAGAACCAAAAAACCCAGCTGTCCCGCTGTGCCAAATCCTTCCCATTACTCTCCACTGAGACGCAAAGTGGGGTGTTCTGGAAACTGGCCTTTCAAACTGCAAGGAGGGAGGAAACTCTCTCTCTCTCTCTCTCTCTCTCTCTCTCTCTCTCTCTCTCTCTCTCTCTCCTTCCTAAGACACAGGGGCATCTCAGGACTGTTGTGTATGTGTTTTTCATACAGAAGTTTCCAGGGCAATGTCTTGAAACTAGCTGAGTTGAAGGCTGTTTCTAGGTGTATGCATTATGAGACATGCAGTGCAGTAGTGAAAAACAATCTAGAGTATTCTTACAGAATGGATTATCTCTGTTTACCTTGCAAATCATTTCACTTATGTTGTTGCTTGTGACCCACCCTTTTGCTGGGATACAAAAGAGGGGGAGAAAAAGAAGAAAGATGTGTGAGCTCCCCCTGGTGCCCTACTGTATTCAGGCCGACTGAAAGAAACAAGGAAACATGTCTACACTACCTTAGGAAAATGAAGTTTTCTGGGTTATTTTCTTTTAAAAGGTCCACTTCTATGCTGATAGCAAAATGTCTTGGACTAAGAACTCTAGGCATCAAGGATGAATTTTGTTTGTCACCTTAGGAGGAATTGTTGCCTGGTCAGGGAACAAGTTTACACAGCAAAGTCGGAAGTGGGGATTACTGGATTACTTTTTGTCCAGAGTTGTTCTCTTTGTTAGTCTGCAGTTATTCGTATGAGTAATTTTTACACACTTTTCTTTGTATCAGTAGAGATATAAAGATATCATGGAAATCTAGTAGCCAATTTGACCAGTGGGACCTTTAATTGGGCCCTTCCACCCCAATAATAATTTATAATGAAGTCTTTAACACTTGGGTCAAGGACAGTTAAGGTGGTAGGGAAAATTCTACTCAGTTTACTGGAATATATTAATTACTGTAGGCTTCAGCAGTTTATCAACATGTACTTAGTTTATTTAGAGTATTAAAAATATATGAAACATATCCCTGCCTACTCCTGGGAAAGTCAGTATTGGGACAAATTTCAGTATTCACTAATATGGTTAAAATGGATGAGTCAACATTATTACCTCTAGCCAGGTGTAGTGACCCACGCCTATAATCCCAGCATTCAAGAGCTGAGACAGGAGGATCACCATGAGTTCAAGGCCAGCCTGGGCTACATAGCAAGACCCTGTCTCAACAAAACAAAACACAAAAAATTATTGTCTCCTATGTTTCTGCAGAGCTTTGTTTCACTTCACCCTGTATGTGTGATTTGGGTGGAGTGGAATCTTAAAAAGCCAAGCAGGAAACTGAAGCCCGCTCATAAGACCCCATCAAGCTTTAATGTAGTTCATAACCTTGCATTCATTCTACTCTTTGGTTTTTATTTCTTCCAACATACTTTTTCCCCTTTTATCTCTTGGCTAACATCTTTCCTGTCACCTGCCTTATAATTATCTCTTCAACCTGGCCACCCAGCATCTATAACCCACTTTGTCTAGGGCAAACTCACCTCTTTCTCGGCTAACTCCTCACCTGTACAAATTGCTCCCTTTTCTAATTCTTCTTTGTACACATTGTCTGCACCACCCAATGGGCTTTCTGCTTGAATCGATAAAACCCACAAACACACAAGTGTTACCTCTGCCTCTGAATCAGGAGCTCCATGAAGAAAGGTAATGGCTTTTGTCTCTTCTGAATTTCTACTGCCAAAATGTGCTGATATTGCTTTACTAGTGCTCTGCTAAATGAGTAAATTGAAATAATAATTGCAAAGGATTTGTTTAATCTCAAAAAATTTAAGTCTATCTTTCCAATAAAAAATTGTCAAATTATGGAGCCATTTCCAGGATTTTAATCAATGCATTCAATGCACCTTGTCTCCACCCCAAAGGGACTTAAGGTGGGCTTAAAATATTATGAAACTAGACAAGATTATTAATTCTGTCTCTGCAAGCTCTGAAATTGTAGGGTTCTGGATCCCAAACTGAACAATGAGAGGTAAAAGTTAAAAGACACTCTGCTTTATAATATCTCTGATTATCATGTCAAGGGAAAAGAAATCACAGATAAAAAAATTTCAGAAATATTTTTGTGTCTTCTTTGCATATCATACACATGCACACATACATACATACACACTCACACTAGAACTGCACTGGCAGGGAACATAGGTTGTTTAAAGTATAGCTATTCAACTGTCATATAAAGTGAAATCTATATTTTCTCTCCCTATATGACTATATATTTAACATCTCTATGCATATGTGTGTGCATACATATGTATATGTTATACACACACACTCCACATTATTATTTCAAAGGGGATTTTGCTCCTTCTGGCTACCAGCAATAACTAGTCAATATTTACACTCTTGAATATCGATGACATCGTGCATACACAGGAAAGCTGTGGAAAACATCTCCATTTTCAAACAGAGTTTTAATTATTTGTAAAGACTTCAATTGTTCACTATCTAATGTCATGGATTGGTCCTCACAGTGTGAAGTACAACTGCCCAGAACCCCCACAGTATTATAAATAGGCTTCTAAAGCTGGGTTGATTGATGTTTGGCATAAAACGCTATTCCTCTGAGCACATATATTCCTTCTGTTCACCATTTTCATAGAAAAATACCAGGGCTGATTTTTTATTCAAATCTCCAATTTATGCAGGGTTTAAACTACTAAATACTTAAAGCCTTTTTTCAGATCTTTTTTCCCTTTTCTGGTAGGTAAGTAACTAAATCTTCTGCTTCAACACAAGTAAGAATTGGAGATTTAGCTGATTCCTGTGGGGAAGAGAAAGAGTTTATTAATTATATTGAGAATCAAATAATACGCTTTTTTGACACTAATGTTCCATCTTTCTCCACCCGAAGTATCCTATGGGACAACTTTAAAGCCTTCATCAGGGTCTAGATTACTGCATTTATGGTTCCTTAGAAGAAAGAATTTAATGAATGGCATTCTGAGTTGAAGAGAGAATTTGAGATGTTTTAAGATTTATGCTGCAGCCGTTAAACAATTTTTTTTCAAAGTGTGTCCCAGGGATTGTAATATAAAACATCATAAAAAAGCACAAAAAGTACATTTTCATGAGTTTTAATAAATTTTTAATACTGATGAAATGTAAATTTTTTCTTCATGACCCTTATCTGCATTGGACAGAGTTCTACAGAAAACTTTAAGTACCTATTTAAAACAACTTACGAGATATTATAGAGATTCTCAGCAATAAAGAATGATAAGTGATCTTCTTAAAAATTTTTATATTGACAATATTAAAAGCAAGTGCTTTATCTGGATTCAACTGGTTCTGGCCAGTGCCTGTATTGGCACACTTACCCAGAGTGTACATATATTTCACTGGTACTAGATTGGAAACAAGTCTACATGAATACAATTCTGAAATTTCTAATACTGATTGATAACAATAATTGTTAATTATTATTTAATACTTATCACATGCTAGGCACATTCTATATATTATTGCTTTGGGTTTCCAGTGGAGGAAATTATGTAAGGATGAGAAATTGGAAGCATATAAAGTTAAAATGATTTTTCCCTAAGTTGTCTGCCTAGTAAATACTAGACATGGATAACTAACTACAACCATCTCACTCCGCTACCAACTACCCCGAAAGTTGGCAAACTTTCTTTGCAAAATACAATATAGTAAATATTTTAGGCTTTGTAGGTCACACTTCTGTCACTATTCAACTCTGCAGGTATAGTACAAAAGCAGACTTAGATAATATGTAAGTGAATTGTGTGGCAATGTTCTAATAAAGCTTTATTATAAAATAAAACAGATGGTGGGCCAGATTTGTGTTGTGGGCCACAGTTTGCTGACCTCTGCACTATCCTGTTCTGTCTGCATCTTCAGCAGTGAAAACCAACTAGTGGACCTCACTATACCACTTTTGGACAGGCAGATCTCTTTACTGGTTCTGTCTTCTGAACAGGCAAGAATAGTGTAAACTGGGGATCTTTGAAACTCCCTTTCACCTTGTCACCTCACTCTAAACACCATTGTTGGGGATTTTGGAGGGCTTTACTTAGAAAGTGCTTATAAGGGTGGGATCATGCCATCGACTCTCATGTCTTCACTCTTATTGCACTGCCTGAATTTCTGGAGCCCCGAAGGCCACTTAGTCTCACAAGATGACCTTGCTTAATTCTATAAGAAATATTAAGGCCCAAGTTACACTTACTGCACATCATATATTGCTTAATTGGAATTTTAGCCTGCTCCCTGGATCTGTATGATTTGGGTGGGGGCTCACTTGTTTTCTAGTCTATGTAGGGATAAAGATGTGTCTTATACTTCCAATTTTCTAAACAAGATAGCCCAAGAAGTAAGTTCCATCCACTTCTTTCTAACTTCTTTCATGCAGGCTGCCTTTCTAGAATTCTATTTTCACCTGCCCCTGGGTCTTCCATTACTATAGTTCATTCATGAGCATGTGTGACAGTTAAGCTTGATTGTGTCAACTTGATTGGCTTGGGAGCCACCCATGGGATTGGTGGAGTATACTTCTGGGTATGTTTGGGTGGCATTGGAGGCATGACCTTGGGCACTCTTTGGTTTCCCTTCCTCTGACTGCTGCTCCCTTGCTGTGCTTCCTGACCACTATGAAATAAGTAGCTTTGCTCCACCTCTCCTTTTTGCTATGATGTTCCTGCCTCGGAACCAGCTGACCATGTACTGAATCCCCTGAAACAGTGAGCCAAATAAAATCTCTCCTCCTTTAAATTGTGAGTGTCAGGTAATTCTGTGTCCCAGCAAGGGGAAAGCAAATATAGCATGTATTAGAAAGTAGATAGCAGGGCCGGGGATGTAGCTCAGTGGCGCAGCTCCTGCCTGGCAAGCGCAAGGTCCTGAGTTTGATCCCCGGTTCTGCAAAAAATAAATAAATAAATAAATAAATAAATAAAAATAAAAAATAAAAAGAAAGAAAATAGATACCATATGCCCCCTCCCTGCCAGTGCCAGATCCATTGCCCTCCCCATCAGATACTGTATTCTTCAGAACAAGTTGAACTTCTTAGTTCAGCTTTCGGCGTTGGCCCTCTCACCTTGGTGGACAGATGAAGGTCTAGCTCTGGCTCTTTTCAGCTTGGTCTTCTGTTCAGTGGTAGACCACCAGTGAGGAGTAGACCATGGGTCAGGGGTAGCAGCTTTGCCTGAAGTAAGACATGTCCTTTCTTTCATACTCAGAAACTTAAGTGAAAAGCTGTAAAGATTTGGTCATACAGCTCTCTGAAATGGCAAGATAGTGAGAATACACTTTTGGTCTAATTGACAAAATTATTGATGCAATTTGGTGAAAGAAAAACCAAAATGATAATTTATAATTTAAAGGAATGAAAACTAAACCTCAGCTGTCATAGGACCAGCAATGCTTTCTTTCCTCCCTTTCCTCCTCTATCTCCTTCTATTTAAGCATCCTTTTTAAAGTTCAATTTTTATTGCAAATCTCAGTGATTATTGTTGTATTAAGGAACAAAGCTAAGAATTTTTAACTAAGAGGAAAATTCTCTGGTCTTGGATTTAATCCTTGAAATCAATCAAGTCTTTGAAAGTCCTTTAAATTATCATGAGATGAAAGGGCTCTTTGCCAAAGAAGGGTTCAAAGCCAAAGAAGTAATCTCTTGTCTTGTGTGTGACCAAAAGGAAGATTGCAAGCAGTGATCCCTGAACTTAAGTAGATTATAATGTCATCGAGGAGATAAAATTAACACATACAAGACAATGAGAACAACTCAACAGTATGGCAGTTTGAGTCTGAGTTTGGGGTGGAGAAGAACGACCGAGCCCTGGAGTAAGTGCTTTGCAGAGAAGGTTGAGTTCAAAATGACTGATATTAGGGAGCCTCTGATGGCTTTGTGTGACCATGTGTTGAAGAGATTGGAATCAGGAAAAAGGATAGTAATCTCCTTAAGGCTGGGAATATGTTGATTGTTTTTGGCAGTTAAGACTGGCAACAACTATCAGTACTAGGTAAATTCTTAAGATATAGTCATTATATTCAACAAACTAGTCCTGGACATAAATTAGTGAGTTTCTCGGAGCCATTTAATACTTCAAGGATAGCTGGACCTGGTGATACAAGCCTGTAATCCTAGCCCTGGGGAGGCTGAGCAGGAGTATTGCTGGTAATTTGAAGCCATCCTGGGCTCCATAATGAGTTCAAGGCTAGCCTGAACTACACAGTAAGACCTCCCCTTACAAAAATAATCCAAAGAATGTGAAACCTAAATTTAATGCAAAATAGGGTACCTTTATCTTGAGTGAAGTGAAAGAATAATTGTAAGCCCTACTTTCAAGGGAAGAAGTAGGTAAAAAAATAAAAATAAAAACTCACTGGCCCGAGAGTCAGAAAAATCTCACTAAATAGCTTGATCACACCAGTTGCTTACATGTTGTTAGCTAGGGTGGGCTTTGGTAATGTCTGTGTTCTGTGCCTCAGTTCTGTAACTTGATAAACAGAGATAATGATGTAAATAAATGTCAGCACAGACTCTGGTGCAAGTTAGATGATCCAGAGATATTCACTTCATTTTCCTTTCTCTTTATAAAGAACTGAAGGGAAGCCTGGACTCAAATCAAGCCAAAGCCTTTGGAAGGTCTTGGACTATAAAAATGGAGTACCTGTGGGCAGCAGGCACCAGAGAGGCCGCCAATGTGGAGGTCACAGTACTTGTCATGAGACTGATGGGACTCCGGTGGTGAGTACAGAGTGAAAAGCTTACCACTGAGCTAGCTTTGTGAAACATTCACAGCTAGGGTTCAAGGAACCAAGACAAAGAAGATAGCAGTAGAACAAAAGAAAAATCCAAACAAAACCCAGCAATTTAAATGTAGTGGAATGCAAAAGAGAAAAAGAGATGATCATCATCGGTCAGTATGTAAGTGCTGCAGAAAGTTATTTCATTGTATGCTGTGTTAACTAGTAAAATTAATTGTAATGAGAACTTCAAGTGAGTCTCCTCCGTTTAATTAAAAAGGAGATTCTTTCTCAAGTGGACAGAAAAGAGGTCTGTTTAAGGAAAAAAGTGCTGCTAAAATTTGGGCATGTTTTTATTTCTGCAGTGGTGGAAGCAAGCTCCCCAAAGGATTGAAAGCTGATGCTCACATACTGTGTGGAGAGGTTTGTGAGCCCTGGCAACTTCCCAAAGAAGCACCCTTTCATTCAGTGACCAACAGCCTCCCTTGCAGGAAGTAGTGGATGGGAAAATTGGCGGAAGTCTAAGCAGAGACTTTCTCTACTGAAGCCACCATTTTGTAGCTGCCTCTCTCTCTACTCTCTTTCCCAGCACTTGCCCTGGGTATAGTAGTTCGACCCAGAGAAAGGTCATTCCAGCAATTCCTAAGGCCCCTCAGATACACTGCATGTTGGCTTATCCTGGCTTGGTACGGCCTTCCCCTTGGAAATAGCTGTGTAGGTTCCTCCAAGCCCAGATGACTCCATGCAGAGTACATTCAGGCATCAACATGGTTAGTCTTGCATCTGTTTATAATCTGTGTGCTTCATTTGCCACTGCTCACCAGTGTTCCCCTTGGTCTTCAGCATGAAGCCACTGGGTGAATTTTCCAGGTTGCCTGGAAAAGAAATTGATGGAACTGAGATTAGAATTCAGGTTTTCAGTCTCTAGGAATTTTCTGCGGACCTTGATTGTTATAGTGTGAATAAAAAAATCCCCCAAAGGCTCACAGGTTCAGAGATGGGACTTTTGGAAGGTGATTGGATCCTGAAGGTGCTAACCTCATCAATGAATTTATCGATTCGTAAATTCATAGTTGAAGGGGCTGTTGGAGGGAATGGTCATGGTAGATAGGACCATATCTTGTCCTCAGGCCTTTTCTTTCTGACTCTTCCTTCCTCTCTCCCTGCTTCCCAGCTATCATAGGGGTAAGCAGCTCTAGTCCTTTATGATGTTGTCCTTCACCACAGGCCTAAAAGCAATGGAACCATGTAACCATGGACAAAACTTTCTGAACCCATGAGCCAAAATTCACCTTTACCGTTGAAAGTTGATTTTCTCAGATATTTGGTCACAGGGGCCAAAAGCCAACATATGGATGATCATTGGAGAGGTAAAATGATTTCTCCACCCTTCTGGCCCCACCAGGATGAAATATCATAAGGTAGGGGAAGAATGTAATATGAAAAAACATTTAAAGAATCTTTCTAAGCATATGTTTATTGTTTTCACAGCCAAGTTATCACAGCTTTGCTGTTCAAGTTCTTCTTGGTTAGTGACTAAGCCAGTGTGGCACTGATAACCCTGTGACAAAGGCTGGAGGCTTCAGAGACAGGAACGAAAGTGAAGAAAGTGTTCTCTGGATTTGCCAGGTAGGAAGCAGTTGGTGACCTTTAAGAGCATAGTTTCAGTTCTGCAGTGAAAATGGAAGCAAGGTTGGAAAGATTAAGAAAAGAATAGGTAAGGAGAAAGTGTTGGCCATGCATGAAACACGGAAGTAAAAGAATGGCAGCACATAAAAATAGAACCCTTGGTATCATCAGGCTCTGTGTCCTAGAAAACTGGATCAACCTCCATCCCTTTGCTGCTTGTCTCATTTAATGCAATAAGTTAAATTGTTTACATTTAAAAAGTAGAAGGATTTTATTTGAATATGTGAATATATTTACTATAATAATAGGTTGTTTTTCTGTTCCCAGTGTAATTGCATTTCTTCACTTGTACCCTGGGGATGTCTCCTTGCTCTTTGGAACTTCCCCTCTCCTCTGCCCTAAAACTAGACAGCTAGACAGTGAATCATCCAAAACAAAGGCTAAAAGTTTTTGAAAATCTATTGGTCTTAGTGTAAGTCAGAAAGATTTAGATGCATACTTGTTGAGCAAGTTTTCCCACTTTCAGAGACTAATCTGGTTTAGAGATCCAATTATAGATTCCCAAGGGAAGGGTAAGAGGAGAGGAAGAAGGTACCTCAAAAGAGAGGAAAAGCAGGGAGGGAAAAAGAATAGGTCTCCCTATGCCCAGGCTCCATGCCTGTGGGATAATGGAAGCCATTTAGTGTCCAGGTGTCCTTCCATTGCGACCTGGTGAGGGCCACCTTGGACAGCCCTCCATATGTCACTCTGGAGCTTAGTTTGTGTATTCCCAAGACCTTCCCAAGGACCCATTGACTAACAATGACCCCAGGTGATAGGGCTCAACATGGTGACATAGACAAAGTTTAGGTAGAGTGACAGTAAAGTCATCCATGGGGCAGAGAAAGTGGTGAAATACACTGCCCTGAGGTGTATATTTTTATGAATGGGTCTTCTCCATGTACTGTACCTGTGAGGGCAAAGATGATTTATCTGTCTCTCTCTCTCATACTCAACAGCTGGATAGTCTTTAGCACAGAACTTAACTGTTTGTTGAATCAATAAATGAGGTAATAGCTGATTGATGAGCACCTAAAGGTGAAAATATATATAGAAAGAGAAAAGAGAGTTAAAGATGATAGAAGAAGGAATGAACATTTGTACAGAGCTGAGAGGTGATTGAGGATGGAAAGACTGAAGGGTAGATCTATGTTCTTTCAGAGCCTGGACAAAAAGAGACGAGCAGACTGATGCTTACTTTCTGATATGTTGGAATAAAACAATAACAACAACAACAACAACAACATGTCCTTTAATACCTATAGTTAACACCACATTTATCTTCTTTATAGTTCCATTTCTGACCATAAGACATATCTCACAAAGTGTTGACAATTAAGAAATAATCTGAGAATCTATAAAAGATAAAGGCACAGGGTTATAGCTTAAGCTTTCTGTATTCATATTTAGAAAAACATGTCATTGACATCATCAGATAATCTCCATAATCTGAAGGCAGAATTGTTCTTTAAGAGTATGTTCAAATTACCAGGTAGAACTCCGTGCTCCCATACTTTCAGGTAGCTTCATATTTATTCATTCACTAATTTTTTCCTCTGCTTCATTTTGTCACTCCCTTAGAGTTACACATGAAACTCCCATTGTGTGGGACACTAGATGGAAGCTGAAAATGCAAAGATGACCAGACATGGAAGTGCATATTCGCTAATCAGTAACCAGCACTGAAGCCCAACTTACTGTGTTTCTGCCTGGCCTAACCTTGTGCTGACAGATTTCAGCCCAAATCATTGATTTCCAGTCTGCTTCAGCTCTTAGCCTACTCGGCCTGGTTACTCCATCCAGAGCCCCAGGCTGGAAGCTGCTTGGCTCTTCCAAGGCTTTCTCTCAAGAACTGAGATCTTGTGTTTTCTCCAGAAAACACAGCTAGACCCTGTGCTCTGAGTTGGCCTCAGTCTCAATGTTGCTTTGCTCCAATTATTGTCCACTCAAGCCTTATCTTGCCATGACTGTTTGGATGCTGGACGTTGACTACCTGATCACTCTCCTTTAGGGCCATTCTTTAGGATCAAGCTTTCTCATCCTTCCTCATGGCATCTCTTTCCTGCTTCATGAAGTGTCTGGCTTTGAGGTCTCTCAGCATGCCTCAGGCCATAGTCTGCCTAAGGCTGCCTCTGCTCCCTGGCTCTGCCACAACCTGGCAGTGTCCCCATTCTTGGGAATACCTCTTTTGGCAGAGAAGCTTCCTTGGATACTCTTCAGATGGGAGGAATGATTTCTCCCTCTTATCAGAGCTGGCCCAGTGCTGGGGACTCTAGGGCCTGCAAACAGAGTCACAAGGGAAAACTAATGAGATTGGAAAGAACATATTACTCATCCAGTAACGCATGATGAGTAAATCAAATGCTATGCGCCCATTTCAAGGAAAAGTATAAAATTGGGAATTAAATAACTACTTAATGGCATTCTTTCTTTCTTTCTTTCTTTCTATCTATCTATCTATCTATCTATCAATCTATCATCTATCTGTCTATTTTAGTAGGAGATACAAAAATGCAATTCAGTGTTTCTCAGCTTCTTTTTTGATCACTGAGTCATGTTAATACATTTCAACATATGCTTTTTGGTATGAAAAGATATTTCATTTATAACATGACAAGGTTTGAGGAAAATGTTTTCCTTACCTAACACTCTTTGATTTATCTAAGCTTTAGAGTTACTCTTGTTGGTGCAGTAATGTTCCATTATGCCCCACAATGTTGTGCAGCATTCAAGAAGAACTGTTTAAAACAAGAAAAAGACATCACAACAAAAACAAATGGAGAAAACCTACTAAACTGCTTTATTTTGGAGGTAAGTAAGGTATTTCACAATCAGTGTACTTAATTTCAAATATATATTTTGAGAGAGGGTCTTGCTACATATTTCAGGCTAGCCTTGCACTTACTATGTAGTTCAAATTGGCTTCAAACTCACTGTGATCCTCCTGCCTCAGCTTCCTGAGTGCAGGGATTACACGCATGCACCACCAAGAATAGCTTTATATCTATTTTTTTTTTTGGTACCAGAGATTGAACTCAGGTCCTTGCACTTGCACAGCAGGTGACAAAACCATGAGCTAAATCCCTGGCCCCTTGATATCTATTTTTTTAAAGTTGACAAAAAATTAATTTCTTTATCGTAAACAGAGTATCATCAAAAATTCAAATTTTTTGAGCTGATGGAAAAAATAATTGTGAATCATCAGTTTGTCAAACATCAGCATCAGAGCCAACACATTTGGGATGACATCCTAGTAGGTATTTCATAGCTGGAGTCATCAAACCTGTGAGATCCAGGGGGTGAATGGGAGGAGCAGGCACAGAGAGATTCCCTGACTGGATGAAAGGCTTCAATGCTGAAACCATCTTCACACATTGGTCAGCAGTCATTAGGTTGGTGACTTTCCTGATCCCCATAAGATGCTTGCACTAGGAATAAATTTCTAGGTTGAAGCATTTGACAAGCCTTCGTTCCTGATGTCTCACACTCAAGCCTTACTTTATAGTCACATCTGTTAGTTTAAAGCATTTTTAGTTTATTGAAGAAGCCTTCACAAAGAAAAAACAGATGATGAAAATCTCATCTGTCAAAACTGTTATTAAAACCAGTAACAGTGTGAAATTTTGTTTAAATTGAAAGCATCATTTATTTTTATCAAACATTTTATAAACAATCACATTTGAGAAAGATTTGGGGAACCTGGAGAGCCCTCAACAAAATGCAGCTCATTATGTTGCTTTGTGTAACGTGTGGCTCAGAGATAGGCTGGGGCTGCTTCCCTTTCTCTTCCCTAGAGACTAGAAGGGTGCAGAGGTTGCCAGGGAGCAGGGGCGTGGCTGCTTTGACAGGGAGAGTGTCCAGTACTCAGACCTGGAACGTAGTAGTGTGGTGGCGGACGAGGGGTGCACCTGATTTGCCCTTTGCTGATGGATTGGGGCAGTGACCTGGCTTGAACCTTGAAGCCCCTGAGAGGGTTTAGGAAAAAGAATGGAAAGGAAGACTGTTCTTGGAAAGAATGAACAGGGCTTGCTTTCTTCTCCTGAGTGCAGACAGTTGATGTTGTGCTCAGACCTGCTACTGATATCAAAGGGCATTTCACAGCCAGAAGGAGTAAAAAGCACCCTGAAGCAGGGAACAAGATGAACATCAGGTCCATTTAGCTGATTCTTCATTCAATCCAGATGTTTGGCAATGTGGCGACAAAACATCCGACACTCTGCTATTGTGTAGACTCAACCTTTGAATATACAAAAGATCCAGTTTCACATTCTCAACTGTTTCATATGTCTTTGGCTGTTTGGTATTAGGAGCCTTGAAAAAGAAACCATGTCCAAGGAAAGTAGAACAATGTAAATCAGAATTTGTCCAAGTGTTGACTTTCTTTCCTTTCTCCAGGCAACACCGGAATTAATTTGGTCACACTTTGACATCTTCTCCTGGGGCCAACAAAAGGTTCCCCAGGGAGGTATGGGACACTTGCCTGGGGGTGCAGAGAATGTTTTAGGGGTTTCCAGACCTTTAGCTGCCCCTTCACACAAGTTCCCAAAGCTGAGAAGCTTGAGAATGGGTCTAGGGTACTTTTTCTCTCTCCTCTTTCTGAATCCCCCCTTTGTTCAGTGGAAAACCTTTACTCACTCATCCTGGATCTTCCTGGAGCCCCGTTATTCAGTGTGCATAGACTCCTGCACAGCACAACAGGACTACGGATCTACCTGTTCAGAGTCACAAAAGTGTGTACCTTCAAGTTTTTAATGTGCTTTTAGGAGGCTGACTACTGTCACTCCATTAGAAGAACCGAGTGACAAGCAAAGTCAACGCATTTTGGAGGGAGCCATCTTCTCTGATGAGCTTCATTGGTTCTATCATTGATTACAATTATGTAATATTCAGAAATGTGGTCCACTTCTCTGAATTGTCCATAAAAGCCTGGTAAAGATCTTGCAAATTTTGGAAGTGCATTCATTCATTTGTTCACAGGGTTTATTTCTACTCAACAGTTTCTCTGGGATCTTATTTCATCAGTTATTGCCTTCCTTGAAATTTAAACAGCTCTCTTTGCCTTAAAACACTCTTAGTCCATGTTAAAAATCCACTGACTGTAACACATCTTTTCTCCATCTTTTTATTCCTCCATTCACAGGCATTTCCATTCCTGATTTTAGCACTTAATGTCCACAAAGAGTGATCATTTCTTACTTCTGTGTCTCCATTCACTTGCTTTTTAGCTTGCTGCATTGCATTTTTTTTTACTCAGACCAGTTCCTGAAACACTCTTGAAAGTCAAATAAGAAGGTCTAAATGGTATGCATGTACCTTGCCCTTCTAAATTCTTTAAGATTTTTTACACACCCAGAATATGTAAATAAAGAAGTTTTACTTATACTCCCCAATCTATATATCTTTTCTTTTCTTCAGGTGGAAATTTAGATAATTTTTTTTTCTCTTTCTCCTAGCCTTATTGCTTTGTATAAGACCTCTACTGCTAAGTTATGTTGAATAGAAGTGGTGACAACCTCATTTTGCCCCAAATTTTAAAGGGAAATTATCCAGTATTTCTTTATTAATTTTATTATGATGATAACAATAGGTTTTTTTTCCTGTGAATATCTTTTATTAGACTTTGGATGTTTTTTCTTATTCATATCCTTGAAGGCTTTTATAATAAATTTCAGTTAAATCTTATCAAATACTTTGCTAATCTTTTGATAATATCATGTTTTCACTTTTATTAGTAAGGTACATTATTTATTTTTGAATGTTAAAGTAACCTTGCCTCCTTGAGATAAACTATACTTGATAATGAAGCAATATCATGTATTTTTTATTGTATTTGCTAATATCTTTTTTTTTAGAGTAGGAAAAATTTATTGGGAGAAAGAAAACTTCTGCCTAAGAGAGACAGAAGGGGGACTGGAAAGTGGGTTGCCCATTCACCCCACGTTTCAAAGTTGTTTTATACAGCAAAGCCATGTGGTGAGGCGGGTACAAAGTGGGACAAAACTATAAGACCCAATGGAAATTTACAAGGTGGGCATGAGGTGGGA